GTTCGCCTGGTGGGTGGTGGAGTAACGAATGGGAAGTTGGGGTGTATTGTGAATTTTTTTAAAATTTGGAGGTTGTTAGGAGGGTGGGGATGGTAAATGTAGGGGCATGCAAGGGGGGGCTAGGGGGAGTCGGAATAAATAGAGGTGTAAGGAGGGAGGGTAGATGCAAGATGGTTAGATGTTCCAGATATTAAGGATAAAGGGGGGGGGAATGGTGTGGCGATAATCTTAGCTGGGTGGTTTAGATTATAGGTGTGGATAGGGGAGATGAGGGAGGAATGCGAGGAAGTGGAAGGGGTTAAGAGGAATATAGAGATTTCATAATAAGGGGATGAGGGAAATAAAATAGGGTTAAGATGTATGGGTGGGATATAAGGGTGGAAATAAGATGCAGGATATTAAGGTGATTAAAGTAGGGAATGGCTGGTGGACTATAGGGTGATGTAAGGGAAGGGGTATGGTGGGAATGCGGGGGGGTGGGTGGGGGGGTGGGAAGGGATAGCATAGGGAGTGGGTTAGTAGGGAGTAGAGGGTGCTTGCCGGTTGATGGAGCACGACAGAATTAGGGTGGAGATGGGGGGGGTGATATAGGCGGGGATTGGAAGAGAAGGATTAGAAGTAAGGACTGTGGGGGGGGTGGGACGGGGAGTAGGGCATTCGTGTAGGGGTTCGTTTGGGGGGGAGCAGGTGAGAATTTGGGGGGACTATAGAGAGGCGATGTTTGGTGGGGTGTTCAGGTGATTGGGGGAAGGATTGGGTATTGTATTTCGGTGTGGGGAGTAAAAGGTAAGAAGAAGACATGAGGTTAGAAAGAGATAATCTGGGGCAGGGGTGAATGGAGGAGAGTTTAGGGTTTTTGGGGAGGGGGACCTTGTTGGAGGAGTTTGGGTAAGGGAAGCGAGTAGTTTATATTGGGTGGGGGGATGGCTAAAGAGGGGGTTGGTTGGGGAGGGGTCGGAGGGGATTATGTTGGTATGGTATGTTTTATGATTCTTTTTTACTTGGTGCTTTGGAACGGTTTTTGTTTTTTTATATGTAGTGGGTGGATTTAACTTTGGTTTATGTAAAGGATTAGGTGTTAGTGTGATTTAGAGTGGGGGAATGTTGGGGTGGGGGGGGGGGTTTGGGTGGGCCGGGTTTGTGCAAGAGAGGAGTGGGTGGGGTTGGTGGGGATACGTGGGTTGTTGAGATAGGGGGTGTTAGGGAAAGGATGTAGTGTGGAAGGGGTTTAGAATGTGGGTCCGGAATGGGGTATGTTGAGTGTTGGGTTTGTTGTCAACATTTTTTAGTCATTGAGTATGACAGGGGGGGTTCGTGTTAAGGTTGTAGGCTTGATATCGAGTTATTGGTGTGTGTTTGGAGGATGTTCCGGGTTATTTAGCTTATCGTGGATGAAATTGTCAGTAGTTATCCTGGTCAATGGCGGGTTGGGTTAGGTATGAGTCTAAGGGAGTTTCTGTGTTTTGGTTTTTGGTGGGAGGGGATCACATTTCTCTAGAGGGTGTATAGAGGGTAAAGAGGGTAAGGGGGGGACTGTGGAGGGGGGGTTGTTGTGTGTTGTTTGTCGTTGGCTGATAATGGTTTTGGGGCCTATGGCGGATGAGGGTTGTGGTGTAATTGGTTTGTGGGACGGTATGGGAGGGGAATTTATTGATATTGGGGTGGAAGGGAGAATGGTTAGTTAGGTGTGTGAATTGATAAGGTCACCGGTGTTTGAATGGGTTATTTGGTCAATAGTGGTTGATGGGGAATGTAGGGGGTGGAGAAGGGTTTTGAATTTAGGAGGTGAGGATGGAGGGATTGTGTAAGTGGGAATATATTGTTTGTATGGGTTGGGATATTGTGTAGGGGGGTGGTTAGAATGTGAGTGTAGGAGAAATGGAAGGTTTAGGAATTTGGGGGGAAACATTGTTTTTAATTGGGATGGGTTTATTTGTTTTTATGTTAGAAGGTGTTGGGGAGTTGTGGGATATTGTTGTGAGTGTGGGGTGTGTTTTGATGTTGGTGGGTGGTATGTGGTTGTTGTTGGTAAAAAGGGTTGCGTGGGGAGTAGGTGAAATGGAGGGGTTTCGGTGAGGTTTATATTTGGCGTGATGGGGGTAGGGGGGGCACAAGGGGGGGTGATAGGGATTTGTGTTTGTGGCAAAGGGGTTGGGTTTGTATAAATTTGGGTTATTTGATGGAATTTTTGGAGGAGGCGAAGGAGGTTGTGAGCTAGGGAGTGGTTGTTTGGTCAATGTCTATATTTTTTTGTGGTGCGTGTTTAGGGAGGCGGTAGGGTTTTGAGGTTAGCTTGTTTGGTAAATTTTTTTTGAAGTAATTGGGCGGTTTTTTAAGTGGTTGTATAGTGTTATGGGTGGTTAGGTGATAGTGTATGACATGGAGTGAATGCGGTTTATTTTTGAAAGGAGTTGATGGTGGGGAGGTAGTGCATAGAGTGGGAATTTGTTTGGTTCGTGTTTTCGTGAGTTTGGGTGGGGGGGACCGGGGTGTATGTGTTTGGGTGGGCTGGTTGGGGTTGGGTGCGGGGGCAGGAGGGCGGCGGGGCCCCCCCCCCCACCGCCCCCCCCGGAGGAGTGGGGGAGGGTAGTGGAGGTCGGGGAAGTGGACGGGGAGCCGTGCGGAGGGGGGGGGGCGCTTTGGTTTTAGTGAGGTGGGGCTGGGTGGGAGGGGTGGGTGAGGGGGAGGGGGGTGCGTGGGCTGGGGGTGAGGGGGAGGAGGGGTGTCGTGCGGGTTAGTTGGGAGGGGGGGTTTGAACGGGGGTGGTGGGACGGGAAGAGGGGGTGGAGTGGGGTGGGGCGGGGTTTTAATGATGGTGGGGTGGTTTGTGGATGGTATTTACCAGAGACCTTGGGGATGGTGATTGGGGAAAATGTGTGGGGGGGAGTGGGTTGTGTGGTTTTTTTGGGGTAGAGGGAGGACTAGTTTGTGAGTGGGGGAGGGGGTTTGGGTTTATATTTAATTTATGATAGTCACACAGTAATGGTGTGACCCGACCGTGTGGCTGAGTATTACTGTAGGACACGTACGGAAGGTAGAGTTGTAATCGTTTTGGTGAGGTTGGCAGTGTGAGTCGTGGATGAGTTTTTGGTAGTGTTTTTGAGGTTTGTGCGTTGTCGTGTTTGTGTTTTGTTGTGGTTTGTTGATGGTGGCGGAACTGGATAAGGGGCGCCGTGGCAGTCGGGGGTGTGCGGAGTGACAGGCGGAGGAGAATGAGTTGGGAGAAGGGGAATTTTTTATTTTGTATGGTATAGAGTTTAAGAAAGGCATGGAGTAAGAAATTGGCGTGAAAGTAGTTGATGGGGTGGGGTTGGTGTGTGTGAGTGTACGTGTTGTGTGCGGTAGGGGTGAAGTAGGGGGGAGAGATCCGTAGGGCGGGGATTTAAATGTATATGAGATGGTATGTGGGTATTTTTGTGGAGTACGTGTGAAGGTGTTTGGGGGTAGGAGTGGCGTTCAGTGCTGTGGTGCGTTAGGTTAAGGGGGTCGGAAAAATTGGTATGTTGGGCACCAGCACCCCGGGGCGGGGTTGGGCCCCCCACCCCCCCACCCCCCCCCCCCCCCCCCACCCCCCCCCCCCCCCCCCTCTTTAACTCGCTGCCTGCAGCCCAGGGCGTGATCCTGGAGACCCGGGATCGAGTCCCGCGTCAGGCTCTCTGCATGGAGCCTGCTTCTCCCTTTGCCTGTGTCTCTGCCTCTCTCTCTCTGCATCTCTATGAATAAATAAATAAATCTTTAAAAAAATAAAAACAAATAAAAATTGTTATGTAAATTGTTTTTCATTTCTCAGGAATGATGACACAATTGTGCTCTTAAAACTGAAAAGAAAATGCCTCCTTTAGCAGAGAAGTGAGGTTGTTAAGTGAGAGTTGAATGCTAATACCAACATGGAATTTCCTATGCCATTAAAGAAGCAAACAAAAATCTCAGGCTTTTGATTAAGATGTAAGAAGCAATTTAAGTATATTTAAAGTTTAGCATATAAGAAGGGACTGGAACATCCCAAAGTATTATATCTTTTAAAATACCTAGTTGTGTATTATGTACTATTTTATCAGAAATTAGTAACAGTAGTGAATGCTATTAGAAATTAGAAATAATTTATCAAAAGCATAGCTGTTTAAATGGTATGCCTCATAACCTAGCACAATTAGTTTAGATAAATCTAATTTTGGATTACAAGTCAACTGTACCAACTCAAACCTCTAAGGCGATCATAAACTTTGAAATACTTAAATGGGAATATAAATATGACTTTAGATCATTTTTTTATTTATCTAGGGCCCAGTTTTACATTCTATAAAATGAGGTGGTTGTTTTGAATATTAAATATGATATATAAAGTGGATACCATAATAACTAGTATAGAGTAAATAATGTGAGTTGAATGAATTCAAATACTGAATAAATGAATGATGAAGCAGTTCATCTTTATCTACATTTATGTTTATACCCAATTTTGAATTACTATTACTATAATTTTAGCCCTTGATAATTAACTGTTTGATGTTTCAGTTTTATCTCCTAAAAAAGTCCTATACTTATCAAAGTCAATGACTATATTATTCTACTTGTATGGTATCCTTATTGCCAATTATCATATTTTGGAGTTATCTCACCATATGAGATTTAAAACTTGTTTGACAAATGAGAAATTAGTCATTTCCTCTCCTCATCAACCAATTAATTACTCAACACATAAATCTATTTGGACACAACTGTATTCTAGGGACAAAGAAAACTGTCAGTAGGTGTAAAGTGGGAGAAATAAGGATGGCCTTTGTAGGTTGATAAAAGTATTTTGTGAGTCTTAATGTATGTCTTAGAGAACAAACAATAAATATATATAAGGAATATCTAAGTTGCAAAGGACCTTAAAAACCAATTAGAATCACCGCAATCTAATTAGTAGGACAGAGGGAGTCACTGATGTTTTGGCTATATTGACAATATATCATTAAAATCATGTTAGAAGAATATCACTAAGACATCAATATCACAAGAATGAGCAAAGGGATAGAGAACCATATGTTTGTTTCAGGAAGACAGAAGAGCCACAGCACTGCAGGGTCCCCCTGACCATGATGGCAATGGGGTCACCCAGGAGATCAGCTTCATCCATGTAGTGAGTGGTCAATAAGATGGTACGATTCTGTTTATACTGCTGAAGGAGCTCCCAGGTGGCTCTCCTTGAGACTGGGTCCATACCAGATGATGGTTCATCAAGTAACACTACCTAAAAACCAGAAGAATTCTATGACATTCTAGGCTATTGGTGTCATAATTGCTCTTTGACAGGAACACACTTAAGCTAAGATACAAAATCTAGACTAAACATAGTGAAAAAACCCTAGAGAAAAAAATAATAATAATCCCAAACCATGTTATGACAATTGAGCCAAAAAAGGCAAATTCCTTCTATCATTGGCAGAATTCCTTTAAGATTCATATCAACTCTCAGGTTTTTGTCAGCTGAGTTTTCTAGACTAGTTGGAAGGAACCCATGGTTAATGCCTCCTCAACCCCCTCTTTTCTCTCTCTTTTCTTTAATACCTGGGAACCCCCCATAAGTGCTATGATGATGGAGAGTTTGCGCTTCATTCCTCCACTCAGTGCCTTTGAAAGTGTATCACGCTTTTCTAGCAGGTTAAAAGAAGACAGCATATGGTCAATTTCCATAGAATACATGTTTTGATATATTCTTTTAACCTAAAAAGAGGAGGCAGAATTTACATGATGCATCCGACTTTATCCTTGTAAAGTGTTTAGATCATAGCTTTCTTTGTACATCTATGTAGATAAATGAAATTTCTTTCCAGTGTAAAAAATACTTTATCCCATCTCTTTTCTCACATCAGCTACATAGTTAGTGTCTTCTTCACATTGCCTCTCTTTAAAGGAGAGCTCCTAAGGAAAGAGTTTATTCTCAGATTTATAGACATCTGGAACTCAGGAATGGAAGGAGAAAAGAAACATCTCTATTTTCTAGGCATGATGGAGTAAACCACCCCCCCTTCATTTCCCACTGAACTCAATTATTAAACCTGGAGAACTATAAAAAGTAAACATCAGAAGTTGGAACAGAATACCATATTTTGAAGTACCACTGACCCAGCATTGGGTTTACCATTTTCCCCCTTGTTTATCCTCTTAGCCTGAACACAAAGTAATCCAAAGCATGGTAATGCAGATAGAATTGAGATTGAGGAGAAATTCTTTAGTTCTGGTTTGAGGAATGGAAAAGAAAAAAACAAAAAACTCCTAAAGTTCTGAGAGAGTGTGGGAGGTGGGAGGGCCAATTCCTTTTTATTTTTTTTTAAATAAAAAAGGAACCCATTAGGAGTCTTGCTCCAACCCATTAGGAGCCTTGTGGCAGTGATGGTGGCAAGAACAGAAAGGAAAGGGAATCCTGTAAAAGCCAAAATTCTGAGGGAAAGGAATCTTCTCACTTAAGTAGAGCCATGGCTCCAACAGGATAGGGTCAAACCCAGTTGCTTTTTACCACCCTGTCAGCTACTTGATTGTGGCACAATCATGAAAGTGGGCAATTTCATTCTTTCTTTCTTTCTTCTTTCTTTCTTTCTTTCTTTCTTTCTTTCTTTCTTTCTTTCTTTCTTTCTCTTTCTTTCTTTTTTTTTTTTAAGTGGGCAGTTTCTGCTAGAGGACTGAGAAAGGAATTTTCAGGAACTAGAAAATACTGGAGAGATAACAGAAGAGAGGAGCAGGAAAGTATGACTGTAAAGTTATTTATGAACTCATGTTTACCCCATCATTTATATATATGGATCTAATCCTAATTAGCATACCAAACTTTAAGAATTATGCTAATTAGTAAACCTCTACCCATATGTGAATTACTGAGTAACATACAAGGGAGAGCCTGGAAAATCACTGCAAAGACTTTGAAGCTGACACTAAAACCATAGTCCACAGATAAGATATAAACAAGATGAAGTCTCATGATTTACTTTTGAAAACATCCAGGATAAAAACAAAAATTACCTGGCACACAAAGAATCACAAAAATCTCAACTCACTTAGGAAAAGACAATCAGCAGATATCAATGTCAGGATGGCACAGATGCTGGAATTAAACTAGAAAGTATCAACAAAATAAAGAAGTTAGTGGAAATCTTAAAACTAAAAAATTTCAATAACCAAAATAAAAGGCTCATTAGATAATAGAATAGAAATTATAGAGTAAAGGGTCAGTGAACTTGAAGGTTGATCAATAAAAATTATCCGGATTCAGACCTGAGATTTATAAAGAGAACAGCCAGAAAGCTACAGAGAGAAGGCTGTCACTTCTAGCAAGGTAGGAAGACAGAAAAAAATAAAATAAAAAAGAATCAAGTAGGAGAGGGGCACCGTGAGGAGCTGGGCTAAAGCTGGGCGGCAAAAGTCTCTGGGACAGGAAAGCCCAGCCCTGGAGAAGCCAGAACTTTAAGAATCTGCACCAATTCTTCCCCGATGGAAAAGCACTTAGCAGGGAAGTCGAGCAGAACTGCAGGAGGAGCTGTGGAGCCTCCAGGTTCCCGGAGTCACTAATAGAGGAAATGCACCTGGGAGAGAGCGTACCACAAACTGTGGGTCAATCTCAGTAGAGGTTTGGCACACGCACCTGGCGGGGCACCTGGGAGAAGCCAGTTGGTCAGGCGTGTGGCTCCGCACAGAGGTGTCTGCACCCTGCTGCCCTCGGTGCCGAGGCCCTGGGAGCACAATTCCAGCAGCACAGGGCCCTGGATCCCAGGGCGCCAGGGAACACAGCCCATGATCCTGCACTCCCCCCGGGACACGTGATAGCAGGGAGGGCACAGGACAGTAAGGACTCTCCTGCCACCGGGTGCCCCCAAGCTGTGCAGATCAGTGCCCCCGTGCCACCCCTGCCCCAGTCCAGGAGCATCTAGGGGAGCTGGAGCTGGAGGCCTGGCCAAGCTGGAGGCCTGGCCGCCGTCAGTGTTGTCCCTCCTTGTTTAACGGTGTGCCTGGGAGAGGCGGGGTCACCAGGGAGCAGGGGTCTCACAGGATAAACAGCTCCCACTGAGCCCGGCACCCTGTGGCAGGTGGTGGTGCGGGCATCTCCCCCAGGTACACACACCTGAGAATCAGCACAGCAGACCCCCCCCCTCAAAAGAACAGCTGGAATAACAGGGGAAGAGCAAAATCTTGACCAAGCAGCGCTGGAAAGCTCCAGGGGAAGTTGAGGGATTTACAGTATATAGAACTAGAGGATACCCCTCCTTCCAGCCTCCCTTTTTCCATTACAATTCGTTTTTATATCAGACTAAAAATTTCCAACTTTTTTCTCTTTTCCCACCTTAACTACAATATTCTTACCACCTCTTCATTTCTAAGTTTCTTCATTTTTGAGTTTCATATTTCTACAATTACATGTCTTAGATATATTTTCCACTTCCAGATTCCCTTCAACATATTCAACTTAATTTTGGGAGATATACAAGATATGTTTTTTTTTAAATTTTGTTTTCTCTGCCTCACTTTGTTCTACAATGGTGTAAGTTAATACCTTCTAAAACATGACCAGCATATACTCAGAACCAAGTGCTACACTGTGCTGATTCATTCTATGAGATTATATTCTCTCTTCATTCCCATTCTGTCCCCCTCTTTTATCTCATTTATGTTTTTGTGGTCAATGTTGGGGATCTCTATAAGTATTCTAGTTTATATAAATTTGGGACTGAGCATCTTCTAACATACAGAACTTAATATACTCAGAACCAAGAGGATCACCCTCTAGGACTCCTCAGGTAGACTACATTCTCCCTCCACTACAACTTCATCACCACTACCATCTCCCAGTTCCCCCTCCCACTTTTTTTCTTTTTTCTTCTCATTTTTTTCTTTTTAAAAAAGATTTTATTTATTTATTCATGACACACACACACACACACACAGGCAGAGACATAGGCAGAGGGCAAAGCAGGCTCCATGCAGGGATCCTGATGTGAGACTCGATCCCGGGTCTCCAGGATCATGCCCTGGGCTGAAGGCAGTGCTAAACCGCTGAGCCACCTGGGCTGCCCTTTTTTCCTCTTTACTTTTGCTTTTTTCTATCTTTTTTCTCTTTTTTTTTGGGATTCTTGGCCTTTTATTTTTTTACTAAAATAGGTTAGAGACAGAATTTAGGATAACAATTATAAAGTACTAGCTGGGCTTCAAAAAGGCATAAAAGACACTGGAGAATATCTTAGTGCAGAAATGAGATGTAATCAGGCCGAAATTAAAAATAGTCTAATTGAAATGCAATCTAAATTGGATGCTCTAACAGCGAGGGTAAATGAGGCAGAGGAGAGACTAGTGACATAGAAGACAAGTCTATGGAAAGGAAAGAGGGAATGAGACAAAAACAAATAATAGCCCATGAGGAGAGCCTTTGAGAAACCAGTGATGCCATGAAAAGAATACATGTCAGAATTATTGAAGTGCCTAAGGATGAAGAGATAGAGAGAGAGTAAGAGAGAGAGAGAGAGAGAGAGAGCACACCGGAAGGTGTACTTGAGCAAATTATAGCTGAATTTCTCTAATCTGGGGAAGGAAATAGGCTTTCATATCCAAGAGGTAGAGAAGACCCCTCCCAAAATTGATAAAAATAGATGAACAACCTGACATATAATAAAAAAGCTTACAAATTTCAGAGATAAAGAGAAAATCCTGAAAGCAGCTTGAGACAAGAGATTCCTAACATATAGAGGGAAAACACTGGATTGACTGGAGACCTCTCCACATATATCTGGCAGGCCAGAAAGTGGCTGGCAAGATATATTCAGGGTACTAAATGAGAAAAATATGCAGCCAAGAATACTTTATCCAGCAAGGCTGTCATTCAGAATGGAAGGAGAGAGAAAGAGCTTCCAAGACAGAAACTGAAAGAGTATGTGATCACTAAGCCAGCCCTGTAAGAAATATTAAGGGGAGAGGGAGTCCGAGAGTAACATAGACCAGAAAGAAACAGAGACAATATACAGAAACAGGGATTTTACAGGTAATACAATGGCACTAAATTCATACCTTTCAATAATTACTCTGAAAGTAAATGGGCTAAACGCTCCAATCAAAAGACACAAGGTATCAGATTGGACAAAAAAGCAAGACCTATCCATATGCTGTCTACAAGAGACTCATTTCAGACCTCAAGACACCTCCAGACTGAAAATGACAGGGTAGAGAGCCATTTACCATGCGAATGGACCTCAAAAGGAAGCTAGGGTAGCAATCCTCATATTAGAAAAATTAGATCTTAAACCAAAGAGTACAGTAAGAGATCATACTATCATACTTAAATGGTCTAGCCAACAAGAAGATCTAACAGATATAAATATTTACGCTCCTAATTTGGGAACAGCCAATTATATCAACCAATTAATACCTAAGTAAAGAAACACACAGGTAATAATACATTAATGGTAGGGGATTTCAATACCCCACTCACAGCAATGGACAGACTATCTAAGCAGAAGATCAAAGAATGGATGACACACTGGACCAGATGGACTTCACAGAAATATTCAGAACATTCCATCCTAAAGCAACAGAATATATATTCTTCTCGAGTGCACATGGAACTTTCTCCAGAAAAGATCATGTAGTAGGTCACAAATCAGATCTCAACTGATACCAAAAGATTGGGATTATTCCCTGTATATTTTCAGACTACAATGCCCCTCCCTCTGCTCATACTTGTGTTC